CATTATATTTCCTATTTTAAATCTCTTTATCAAAACTGGAAATCGTGATAAAGTAACGTTTAAGTCAAAATAAACAATTTGTTTAAATTTAAAAAATATCAGTAAACTGTATGCAACCTATAATAATGCAAAATGTGTAATAATTGGAAAACTATTTCAAAACTTACAAATCTCTTAGTTAAAAAATTTATATTTATTCAAAATTTTGTATGTTAATAGGCAATACAAAATATAAAATTGAATTTTAAACAACAAAATATGCATCCTACATATCGCGCACAATTAAAAAAAAGTGTGGATGAAATTCTGCATTCATTTCTTTTATTCTTATTCAAAAATTATAAGACTGAGATTGTGTATTAACAGTCAAACAGAAAATGTCAGCTTTAACGTTACCTTAACTGTGTGTGTCTGAAAACTATGGTTCAACATTTGGTAATATCCTACTAAGCAACTAATTATATTATAACAAATTTGAATCAATGATACTTAAAATATAAGATTAAATACAGTATTGGCCAAACTATTAAAACAATTAAACAACTTAAAAAAAGCAAAAATGTATCATAAATCAAAATACTGTACAACATTCATTAATTCAGTATAAGTAAAACCAATTCCGATATTAGTCACAAAGAATATTACAGATAAATTAGAAATACACCACCACAAACAGTGAAAAACAAATTAATTAATAAATTTGTTTTTTTCTCATCTAAACTATTTTGATTTTTATTAATTTGATCAGTAGAATATAGTGTTCTGTAAGTCCCTAAATTATTTTTATATAAACATATAGTAAATTTTTCTAATAATTAGGCCAACACTGTATGTAACCAATTAATAAAAAACACATGGAAATCCATAAAAAATTATGTCTAGCAACAAATAATATATATATATAAAAAAACAAGTAGTAGCCATGTTTATAAAACATTTAAAACACTGATCTAAGCCATCAGAACTTACTATGTGAAAACTTATATTTAAATGGTTTTTTTGATTGCAAAATAAATTTAAAAACTAAACATGCTACACAAGAAAAAAACAAAAACTTAAGACGAATTGTGCATCAAAATGTGAAAAATGACAATTTCATATGCACAAGAAGGGGCAGGACAATTAAAGAAGACTACACCAAGATTTACAAATTAAAAAATGAAAAAATCGGATCACCTTTTTTTCTCCTTTGATGACATGGGATCCAGTTGGATGGAAGGAAAAAATTTAAGTTAAAATTCCAGACAATAAAATAAAAAAATATGTAATAAAAAATTAGGTGCTCAGACAAAAAACTTTTTTGTGAAAAAAATTAGGCAGTACCAATCAACAAAGCAATTAAGTTAAACCCTTGTTCCATATAGAAATAAGGAAAACTTAAAAACAAAATTAAATAAACATAATTTATAACAAACACTTCTATGGACTTAAATATTCAATAAATAACAAAATGTTTTAATAGTAAATAAATAAGATTTAGAGAATAATCTATGAAAGAGATTGCGATTTATGATTTAAAAGTTTTGCTAGTAAGAAAATGTGTTGTTCTACATGAAATGGCCATTTTGAATTTCCATTTTGTAACCTATATTAAAATGTACTATCAAATCAGTACTAAGAATAAGTTTTAGCATGCTGTATGAACTGCATTGTAATTAGAATGTTCTCACGTCAAATTTATTTATAGTCTAATTAATTCTTGAAATCTGTAATTAATATCTACAGCTCTTTATATCCCAAAAAGGTGTGCTGCAATAATTTTACATAAGAATCAAATTTTAGCATGCTGTATGAACTGTGTCATAATTAATATGTAATCGAAATTAAAATTGCATTGTTAATTATTAAGATGCCAGGTGGTTGATTGGTAGCACTTTACACTCTCATGCCACAGGTCTGAGGTTCTATTCTCAGACCGGGTTAACTCAAGGCAGACACGGTTGACTCAGCTTTTCATCCCTTGGTAGATAAAATGAGTACCAAGTACCTTGAGGACTAAACACAGATGGTTTAGCATCCGGCGGACCACCCAACTGGAACGACTGCTCCTGCACTGGAGCACAAAGTCAAGAAAACTGGGATGGGCACAGTAGGCCTGAGCTCTTCATAAGCTGACACCCCACTGAGTTTAGCTCTAATTTTATAGTTAGTTATGAATAATCATCTAGATATTTTTACTCCATATCTAGGTGTACAAAATATCCGCACTAAAAATAAGTTTTAACATGTTGTATAAGCTGTATAATCAGATTGTTCCATATCAGTCTTATTCATAATCTAGTTAATTATGAATAAGACTAATATGGAACAATATTTAAACTCGTAACCTGTATTTAGATGTGCATATCTGTATTTAAATATCTTTAATAGTATATGAATAGACACATCTAGCAGCGCTTAAGTTAAATTTTAGCAATTAGTATCACAATCAGAATGTTCCGTAAGATAGCTAAGTATTTAATTCTATGTTGTTAAAGTATTGGCAAGCCAACTACAACCAACCTTATTGGCATTTTAGTTAGTCCAAACTGCCAGTTATGTTGTTGTTAACTTATGTTGCAGATAATCTCACATATCATTAAACCAGTTCAAAATTTCAGTTTACTAGCTGACTAACTAGGATGACTTTACATAAAACAATTAATTGCATATGTTTTTATGGGTTCTTAAGAGGTGTGATTTATAAATGTAATTAAAATTGTTCACTAACAAACATTCACCATTTTGCAAGCATTTATGGCCATTACATATAGGACAACTATTAAGTTTACCTTTTTAAGTAGGCAGCCAGAATATTAAATGTTCTTTTTAAAAAAAAATACATGAATAGTTTTAAGATTTAACAATTGTATAAAAACTCAACTCTCACTTTTTTAGCGGCACTGGACTACCACCATGGGAGTGTCCTCCATTTCTCGCATCTGCCATTGTTGGACATGCCACCATCATGTATGCTGTTTGGAGATCAGGAGAGGAAAAATATAAACGTTAGTACACTTTGTAAAAGAAACTAAGTCAAATAATAAACCCACTTAAAATCAATGACATTCACTAAAGAAGAGCTTGACAAAGGATTATTTGGTTACTTGCTGTAAAGCAGATACACTGGACAATTCACTCGCTAAAATGCTTCTTATTTTTTAATACAAGGTGAATTCAAAAAATTCAGTGAATAGTGTCATGAAGTAAAAAAAATGAGAAACAAACAAAATACTTTAACTGAAACTCAAAGTAATCACCATAAGCTGCAATAGATTTGGGACATCAGTTGTGCAACTTCTTTTTGTATCGTTTGAAACATATCTTTGACATCTTTCTTTCTATCTCTAAACAGTTTGAACTACTAAAAAACAAAAACTTGTCTATTACCAGGGGTATTGTGAGCCCAAGTCAAAATTCCAAAAAATTTCTTGAGTAAAAAAAAGTTTAAATCGAAAAATTAAAAAAAAAATTTAAACAAGGTTTTTTCTTTTTTCTCAATATTTTTTAGTTTACTTAAAATATATTTAAAATTTTACACATACCTATACCATTTACAAGTACCTATGTCAACCTGGAGAAGTAATTGAAATTTACGAATATGTCTTTTTTTCTTGAGTTTATGATTATAATAACTATTTACTGATAAAAAATGAATATTAATCTTTAATATAAGCTTTATAAAGCATCTGGCTCTCCCTTACAAATAAAATAAACTGTGTTTTTAAGCTCCACCTTTGAAAATTTGATTTGCGGAAACTTTTGTGATCAATGATTTTTTAAAACATCTGAACCTTCGATCTCCGGAAACTTCTGGATCACGGTTAGCAAAAGATCCGGAAATCCAGCACAATCAGTCCTGTATTACTGCTTCCACGCCATGCACTTTCATTGCCAGGGTGTCTTTCTAGACTGATTTCATCAATTTCCCCACATTTTTGTAATTGGTGCATAAATTTGAATATTTACTACATAATTATACCTTATTCTTATGCATAGAATTTATTTCAAAACACTCATACTTCCTATTAGAGTCTAATTAAACAATTTTCTCTAAATATATTATTACAATACCAAATTTTTGGGAAACAATATTGAACTTTTAGGTACCTAAAATATGTTGGGTGTTTAACCTTTTAACAGTCATGCCAGAAATAATCTCGGACACAGCACTAGTGTTCCAAAATGTAATGCCAGAGTATAACTTGGGGTAATTTTTTTTTTTAGTGCATTACATTGTTATACCCGAACTATTGGGAGAAGTTTATCTCGGCTTCATCTCTTTGTCAAACCTGAATCTATCTGGGCAAAAGTTAATTTTGAAACAATTTAGAACAATAGATGGCAGCACTTTACTGAAGGTTTCAAGGGATAGAGGTTTATGTTCCAAGTACACGGGATTTTTTTTTTGTTGCAAAATGGCGTCCAGTTCTTTGAAACTTTATATGGATAATTTATTTTTTTAGAAAAAAATTAAATGATTTTATTTTTTGAAATTTTTCAAAAATAATGCTCCACTAAGAGCAAACTTTTCCACTGCCACATTAAGTGGCAGCCGCCTCAAGCGAATATATAGTGGCTAAAAACCTTAAAATTTCTATGCATGTAATTCAAAATATCAATTTTTAACTACTAAGTATATTTTGTTTTGTGCTAAACATTTGATTTTTGCAATAAAAAAAATTGACTATTCATGTTCCCAAATCATCAAAATAACTTCACAGTTAAAAGGCTAATAAAATACCCTGGCATTTTCCAGATTGATAAAAGTTTTTAATTTTTCCCTGTTCTCTCTATTTTATTGTCCCCCTGCTGACATTTCATGTGTTTCAGTAGTTGTTTAGCATAATTTGAAGCAAAACTTGTAATTTCTTCGCGCAGACACACACATTTCTTCACAGTAGGACTGATTCAAATTAGTCAAAGCACAGACACAGTTAACTATTATGATTTGGATGCTAAGGTCTTATTTTTTTCCCACTGCATCTGTATTAGCACAATACCTTAATCAGCTGTGTTATTTAACTATGTAACAATTCTTCCCCAAACTGTTTGAATACACCTTGTATAAAATTAAATCCCTGTAAAAGATATGTTTCATACAATTATACATTTCAAGAAAATTGCACATGTAAACATGAAACATTAATTAAGCTTAAAATAACAGGGTATAAAATAATGTGAGTGATTGTTTTAATATTAATCAAAAAATTACAAAACATACTTTTGTTTCCTTGTTTTGGGGTAACATTATAATGAATCAATATATTTTAGGGCAACAAAATTTAAGAATTTATTTATGAAAATTTTGGATTTCGAAAAGGATTTCTAAATTATGTTTTTCATGCTTATTATTAGAATAGACTTTTGATAAAATCAAATAGTATAACAATTTTGTATTTGAAAAAAAAAAGTTAAAAAATAGAGCTAAGATTTTTTTTTTTTTGCAGAAAATTCCTACTTCTACCAATTGCTATAATTATCTTTTCTTACATCTATAACTAGTAATAATCATCTAATATTTTTTGTCAATATATATGATTTATGAGTGCTCACATATTATCCTATTGACCATTTTTGTTAACATTGCATCAGAGTAATTTTGGTATCTTTCAAATTCATTTTTATGTAGTAATTGATTATAAAAAATTAACAAAATATATATATAACTTATCGCAAAAAAAAAACAAGATGTAAAAAAGGATATAATATTTAAATTTGAACCACTTTCAAATTTATTGACAGATTTGGCAAAAATGGTCAACAAAATTATACGTAAGTATCGATTTATGTCATTACACACTGATTCAAAAGACTTGATGAATATTCAGATCCATAAAAATTTTGTAATGTAATATAAAAACAATACTTAATCATTTAAATAATTAATCATTTAAAACTTAGAAATAATATAAAAAAATTTATAATTTTATATAATAATTACACTACATATTTTTATAATTTAGAATCGTCCAAGTTGTGCATGATGATATTGTCAATTCAACAAAAATGGTAACACTTACAATATTAAAACAGAATTTCAGGACAAAAAAAAATATTATTTGAAAACGTTAAAAATAAATAATAAATATTGGTATTCTATAAAAATAAAATAATGAGGAATAAAAAGGTTTTATTTTATTTTATAAATATTTTTAAAAGCAAACATTACTTTATAAAAGTTTGCATGTTAGGATAGAAGAAAAAATTATCAGTTAAAATCATAATTCATAATTCATTTAATATTTATTCAAAAATAGTAAAGAAGTCACTAAAAACAATCATCCAAAAACAGAAAGTTCCAATATTAAGAGTAATACTGTAATAAATAGCATTCTAAACTAAAAAAAACAACATGTGATTTGTTTCATTTTGCAAAGTTTGTCAATGTTAACTAACACCATATGGCCACAATGTAAAGAGTTGCCTCGCACTTCTTCAACATCAAAGGAACACTTTAATATCTTTACCCACCTGTGTAGGGGGATGAAGTACCCTTTCTCACACAGGGAAAAGAAAAACTTTAGAATCAATTGAACTTTTTTCCTGGGTACAAAACTTAGGGCGGAAGTTTAAATTAAAACAATAAAAAGAGACTGTGCATCACATGTTGTCCTTTGAAAAACGTTATATAAATTTACCTTTTTCAGCTTTTCTTCTTTTTCTTTTATTACAAATTTTTACAGCACACACAGATAGGACAATGGCAGCTATAAAAAACAGGATACCACCCACAACACCAGCCGTGATCGCTTTGCTGCGATTTCTGTCTTGTAAATCACCTAAATAAACAAATCATTAATATTTCGCACAAAGAACAAGAGATCTTCAGAAAATGTAAATCCTACTCAATGAAATTTTCATACTTCTAATAAAGGAACTTACTTTTAAAAATATTGAAGGATAAAAATTAAACTACATTTCTAAAAATGTTCCTACCATGTATTTCCAAAAGAACTTCTGGACTAGGAGCGGATGGAACACTACCATTTGAATATGCCAAAACTCTAAAAGCATATTTTCCACCCTGAAGTAATTTGGCTAAAAAAAGTAATACAGACATCATAAATAAAAATTTCATAAATAAAAAATAAAATAATTACAAAGTATACAGTATGCATAATAATATTACTCTTGGGTAAAAGGTATAGCAAAATAAAACGTTTTGCTATTAACTATCAAAATAAAATCTATAAAAATATCCACATTGAAGTCTACAATATATAAATTAATGTACAATTCATTGGTTTCTATATTTCAAACTCTAATGTACATTTCAATATATTTTATTTTCCAAAATTCAGCAAATAATTGTAAGTTGACAAAAAATATATTTTTCATATTATGTCCAAAATAAGTAAAGCAGTAGCCAAGAGGATAAAATAAAAAAGATAAGCGTAAGAGGAAAACACAACGTAAAAAGTATATCTCGAAAGTATTATTTAAAAAAAATTCCTACCTTTTCTTAGTTAATTACTATTTAGGAGTAATAGAAATTAGTAAAATAATTTGATTACATTTCTATTTATTTATACGATTGAAATCACTTTTAACAATATTCGATGAATTTATTTACCAATTTAAAGCAGGGTACCTACAAAAGAAGATAACTGTGAATTTTCAAGAAGCATAATATAAATTAAGTCATAAAAATTGCCGAAATTATATATTAAAAGGACATTAAAAATTTGATAATACTATAATTATAATATTGAACAATTAACATTCACATAACAGCTTAATATTTATATAAGTTGCCTCACAGCTAGCATATTTTTAATACATAATGTCCATTAATATTTTCATAAAAATGTGTTTTCCTCTAAATGTTGCATCATTATAATAAATGTACGTATGACATAATAATAAAAAGAAAAAATTTCCCATAAATATCTGCTTTCGAATTAAATGAAAACAAAACCTTTGATATCGAATATAATTTGAAAAAATGATGAATGCTTCTAATTATTCTCACAAATACCATGCATTATATGCAAAGTCACAAGTTCAAAATTGTCAAATACAAAATCAAAACAAAATAGGTCAAATAGTTCATAAAAAGTCAAATTTCAAATGCATGACTTTTTAAAATTCACTTTATCATGAAATATTTGACCGATTTTGTTCAACTTTTGTATTTTAGTATATAAAATTACATTCTTTAAAATAATGTAAAAATTTATATACCTAACAACTCAAAATTTTTTGACTATTGCATCATATTGTCATACCCGAATACATATTGGGAGAAGTTTATCTCGGCTTCATCTCTTTGTCAAACCTGAATCTATCTGGGCAAAAGTTAATTTTGATACAATTTAGAACAATAGATGGAATAGATTTACTGAAGGTTTCAAGGGATAGAGGTTTATGTTCAAAGTGCACGGGATTTTTTTGTTGTTGCAAAATGGCATCCAGTTCGTTGAACTTTATATAAATGATTTATTTTTTTAAAAAATAATTTTTTTTAAAATTTTTTAAAAAATAACGCTCTACTAGAAGCAAACTTTTCCACTGCCACATCGAGTGACAGCCGCCTCAAGCGAATATACAGTGGCTAAAAAAACCTTAAAATTTCTATGCATGTAATTCAAAATATCAATTTTTAACTACTAAGTACATTTTGTTTTGTACTAAACATTTGATTTTTGCAATAAAAAAATTGACTATTCATGTACCCAAATCATCAAAATAACTTCATAGTTAAAAGGATAATAAAATACCCTGGAATTTTCCAGATTGATAAAAGTTCTTAATTTTTCTCAGATTGCCACTGCTCCTTATAACTTATGGGCCAGAAATCGAAAGAAAAAAGTATGACTTTTAAGAGAAAGTACGTTTTTGTGTCTGCTTTTGTAACTTAAAATATCATCTACACAAATTAATTATCAAATTTAAAGACAAGTTCTTGAACCATTAAGATTGAGTTCTAGTATTTGACCATCTGATCAAAATTTACTCAGAGTGATTCTTTCCTTTTTTTATGCCCATTGTACATATAAAAAAGTATGCATGCAAAAAAGCAAAATTAAGCATTAATTGAATTTGAAATGATATTCTGGAGAAATTTACAAAAAATAGAATTCAAAATTAAAACTATTATTATTATTCATAACGAAATGCACACTAAAAAGAACAAAAAAAATTTATATTAATGGAAAATATTAATAGAAATTTGATTAATTAAATAGAAAATAACTAGTTAACAAATAAGAATTCAGACAGGTGCATATTTTTTATACAAGAAGAAAAGAGAAAATTTAATATTCCTCAATTAACAGGCCATAAACGGCTTGATTAAACATGTTTATAGCATCTACTATTTCCAAGCAATTTAGGGGCAAAGTTATTCAGCTTTTTGTATTTCTAAAGTTTTATTTCATCTAAAAATTTGATTCCTTTACAGCTTTGTGAACTGGATATATTAGATTTAAAACACTCATTACTTTTCATTACAGAACAGGAGTTCTAGTCAATTAAATACTCAATAGATATTTACACAAATAAAATATAAGAAAATATATCTACTGCAAATTAAAAAAATTTTATATTATACAATAATAAAAAATATGTTGAGAACATAAATAAGTTTTGGCAGATTATGGCATGTTTACTGAATATAAAAATTTATTTATTCTACATTACTTTATTTAATTTGCTCTTAATTTTGTTTAATCAAAGAAAATTTTATATGAAGTGACAACTTTTGACTATCTTAAAGGATACATATACTACCTGAGTATTCGGATAAAATTTAATTACACATTTTGGTCAAAAATTTTGCTTCAAAAAAATATAAACACATGATAATTTTGAAAAGTAATTTCTTATATAATATAAAACAACTTATAACTTGCATTAAAAGGATTAAATAGACCCCTTAGCAGTTAAAGTGTAATTATTGATTGCCAGTATGAACCAGTATAAATTGCATTAAACGTTTCATAGCTGTTTTTTTTCTTTCCTAGGTCAAAACATGTTTGAAACAAATATAGTTCAAAGATTTATTTCAAATGAAAGATGTAAGTAATTTATTTATTTTACAGTTAAAATAATAGTAAATTAAATTTAATCCAGACAAAAAACTGAAAACCTGCAATAAATCAATGTTCTTTTAAAAAAATAAGTTATTATCAAATGACTAAAAAAATAAATTCTTGGTAATCCCCTAATATTTAGAGAAAAAAAACAATTTTGCAGCTCTTTCTTTCTCAAATAAATAAATTTAAAAAAAAAATTATACTCTTTTATAATCAATACGACAAGATGTAAGAAATATTTNAAAAAAAAAAATATCGGGAAAATTTATCAAATTTTGTTCCGGTTTTCTGATTTCTGGATAACGGGTTCTGTACTGTAATACAATAATAAGAAATATGTTGAGTACATAAATAAGTTTTGGCAGATTATGGCATGTTTATTGAATATAAAAATTTATTTATTCTACATTACTTTATTTAAATTGCTCTTAATTTTGTTTAATCAAAGAAAATTTGATATGAAGCTACAACTTTTTGACTATATTAAAGGATACATATACTACCTGAGTATTTGGATAAAATTTAATTACACATTTTGATCAAAAATGTTGCTTCAAAAAAATATAAACACATAATAATTTTGAAAAGTAATGTCTTATATAATACGAAACAACTTATAACTTGCATTAAAAGGATTAATTAGACCCCTCAGCAGTTAAAGTGTAATTATTGATTGCCAGTATGAACCAGTATAAACTGCATTAAAAGTTTCACAGCTGTTTTTTTTTTCTTCTTCCTAAGTCAAAACATGTTCAAAACAAATATAGTTCAAAGATTTATTTCAAATGAAAGATGTAAGTAATTTATTTATTTTACAGTTAAAATAACAGTAAATTAAATTTAATCCAGACAAAAAACTGAAAACCTGCAATAAATCAATATTCTTTTAAAAAAATAATTAAGTTATTATCAAATGACTAAAAAAATAAATTCTTGGTAATCCCCTAATATTTAGAGAAAAAAAACAATTTTGCAGCTCTTTCTTTCTCAAATAAATAAATTTAAAAAAAAAATTATACTCTTTTATAATCAATACGACAAGATGTAAGAAATATTTAAAGTAATAATGAAACTCTATATGTCTTATTATTAGTCTTGATTTTATTGTGTGCTCATTTCCGTATCATTTTGATATTGAAAAACAAATGGTTAGTTAACACTTAATGAATAAGATACTTATTTTTTTTAACACTTATTATATAATATGCTTTTAAAATGGGTTTTCATCAATTAAAGTTTATAATTTAATATCAGGTCAGGGAGTTAATCACTTTATTTCAAGCTTAAAACTTCCGAATCAGTAGTTATTTTGCTAATAGTTATCAACACTATTTACTATATTTTTAAAAAAAAGTATGCAATAAATCCCAATAAATTCACAAATGCTGAGTTAAAGGCTCGTTTCAATCAAAAGTAAAAAATATTTTTTTTAATACAAATTAAACAAACTATACAGTTTATGAAAGCATGTCTAATTTGGCAGACATCACAGTAAAGCAAATTTAAAAACACTTCAAAACTAATTTATATTCTCAAAATATTTCAGAGGAATTTAAAAGCAAGGGAAAAAAAATCACCATCATAGTGAGTTTCTTTTATATTGCCCCAGTTTAGCCACTGTGCATCATTTTTGTACTCAACGACATAATATGATATTGGAACTCCATCTGCAGGGGGTTGCCACTTAATACTAACACCCAGGACTGTTTTCGTAACAGTAACATTCCTCACAGTTCCTGGGCTTGGTCCAGCTGGTGTAGATGGCTCAGGGGCAGGAGTTGACCCTAGATGCATAGAAATTAAGAAGTGCTACTTAAACAAATACAGTCACACGCAAGTTTATTATCAATTGATAAGAACATAAATTATAACTACAGATTTTATTATTAAGAATTTTACTATCTTAACTTAGTTGGAAAGAGAAACTAAATAAGAATTAATTTAATAAACAAGCATGTACATTTTTGTAATATCAAATATTATTAAGAAAACACACATAAATAATTAATAAACCAGACTATCATAAAGAAACACTAGATAACAAGTTTAATAACTTTTCTTTAGGAAAAAATTACTTAAAATTTGCTTTCGCTTTATAAATATGATAGAACTTTGATTGCCAATGAATGCAGGTTAACATAAAATATTCTCTTGAAATTTAATAAATCAATGCACGTAAAAGTATGAAAAGTATTAAATTTATTAAAAATATAAAGAATTAATAAATTTACATTAAGAATGAAAATTGCAAAAATATTTATGATGCGATGGAAAGATGAATATTTTTAGAAATTTCAGTGTGAACACACTCTTTTCTTCGTAAATAAGAAATTTTCAACCTATATAACAAATTGCCATTCCATTTCTGTAAATTAGTGTGAATACCAAAAGTTTCAGGCCTTCAACAAACATGGCACTGGTTATGATTCTGTCTCCATGGATTTTCTTCAGTTTCTGCAACCATATTTTCAATCAACATCACACTTTCACCATTTTCATCAACTGATGTATAAACATCAAAAGTGATGTTTTACTCAAATCTCCATGCTGGTTTACTTCGTGAAGCAAAATAACTTAATTTTTTTTCTTTTTCAAATGCAGGTAAAATTTCTGAACGATGACCGTGGAAATGTTTTAGTTTAAAAAATGATCTAAGCTGGTATCGTTAGCATTATAAGAATAGCATTTGTGACAAAACCATTAAAGCAAGACTGAACAAATGGGAAAAAGATGAGGGAACTATAGATTAAGGTTCAACTGTATCGTCTTTTTAATTCAATATTTCAAATACTTTAAAAAACTAGCAAAGGTAATTTAAATGAAGATATTTTTTCTAATATTTTATAAATGAACTTGTAAAGTGTTAAAAAAAATTACTTAAACAACAGCATTTGTAACAACTGAAAATATCCCTTACCCTATTTATACCAATAAAAAAAAATCCTTCTTGTTATTAGAAAGAGAGAGAATTTGCTACATTAACTTGTCCAAATGAGAAATGCTCATTTGGTTAAGATACATTTTAAACTCATAACATCTTCAGGTGTCCCTCCAACAAAAGATACAAGGCATAAGTCAAAACCTACTTAACCTAAGTAATCCTAGTAATAAACGTAAGTTATCTACAGCATATTTTATAAAAATTCGATTTGACTTTTTCTAATTGCTCAAAGTTGAAAAAATTTGCGTGACTCTGCTCAGCATAACCACCTTAAACATTTAATTGCTTATGTTTTAGAATCAAAATTTTATACTTATAGCTGCAGTATATAATTTAACTAACTTTTAAAATTTTAAACTCATTTTTATAAATTCAACCAGAGTTAATTAAATGCAGAAACTTGTAAAAGCCTAAGTTACTAGACTAAGACTTAAGACTTCTATCGGCATTTTTTTAATTTCTTGGGCACAAAATTTCACTAAAAAAAAAAAGAAAAGAAAAAAAAAGAGAAAAGAAAAAGAAAGTAATTCAAGATTTTACAGTAATTTGACCCGAAAGGATCTGTGCTTACACACTTAGCTTACATATCCTTTATTTTAGATATTCAATTTAAGAAAATGGAAAAATAAACAGATATCAGATGGTGAGTTTTACACCAACTGATACATGTTGATATCTGCTGACACAAATGTCATTTACATATGAAATTTCATATGAAATATTACTGGTAAATTTACAAGTATATATATATATTATAAATTAAACTGGCTAAGATATTTATAAAATAACACAAAAATTCTAACATTTTCCTATAAAAAAATGAAAATGAAGAAAGAAAATCAAAGAAAATTCACTAATAATAAGCACAACTACTTAATTGTAATTAAAATGTAAACAATTTAAATATTTATACTTTTAATATTTCACGAATCTTTCAGAAATTTCATATTTTAGAAGAAATCAGAGCATATACAATCCAGATAACACATCAAGTTAGTTCTACTTTCATTTGAACTTATCTTAAACATTATGAGTTTCATAACTTTAGAACATTTAAGAAGCACTTTTTTTACTATAGTAGTATTATCTAAGAGTTTCTAAAGTGAGGAACATTCCTATCCTAAAGCACACCATGACAAACATAGTTGAAATGAGTTAAGCAATGTATTATTTAGACATAGATAAACATAGACACATAGATAAAGCACTACTGTCTGGCAATCACAAGATGAGCTCTATGTGAAGTTGAAAAGTAGATACAGTGAAACCTCCAGGAAAGATTACCCCTATTTACAATCACTTTTGGGAGGCAGAGAATTTTTTCCATAGAATTTGTGTTGAAGAAAACTTTTAGGAGAAACTATTTAAACCTCTCATAGTGACCGAGCAAGCATCTGCACCAAATGCGGAAAAGGTCAAACAGGGAAACACAAAAAAATATCAAAACAAATAAGTAAATTAAAATGTATTCAAAATATTTGTGCGAGGCTCTCATTTAGATCTTTTTGACGATACAACCTCATGTTGCAGTCAGAGTGCCCTAATGACAATGCTATAAATGATTTACTTGTAGAGTTGAATGCTAAATTAGAAAAAAAGTGTTTTTTAGAAGAAAAAAAACAAGCCTCTTAAACAAACAAACCACTTCTAATCTTTTAAAGCTAACTAATTTTTATGATATAAAATTAAATGCAAACCTAAACAAAAAGCATAATTTTTTTATTTATTTAGAATAGCTTAATCATTCATAATTGATAAATTTGTTTTTACATAATTATATTAGTTGGGATCATTTTTAGAGGTGCTAAATTTTATTCATCAATTCATCGTTTCATGATCCCAAGAGAAGTGGCATTTCCGCAGCAAGAAAATAACACTGACTAAAATTAAAATCATTTAAGAAAAACCTTATATCTTCGATAACAATTTTGAAGTCAATGAGGTAACCTCTAGAATGATCAATCTCAATCAACAACCACTTTACTCAGGAATACGGAGAGTGGTCGCTCCCCGAGAGGTTTCATTGTACCATTTATTAAAATAGTTGCGGTGGTGGGTATTAGCTAAAACCAACCACCGAGCAGAAAATAGCTTTTAATTTAACATAACCACCACAACAAAGTAATTAAAATGAAGAGACCAGTCATCGTCAACAAGTCTGGAATCAGGAGCTTTTCTTGTGATTACTAGACAGTATATATGTCATAGATAAAGCATAGACTTGAAGTTGAGAAAAGAATAGGATATAGAGTATAAGAAGTTACCAGGAACAGAATTCCCAGGAGATATATCCCCTCCTAAGACAGTTGAAGAAGATCCACCACTAGGGAGTTCAGTAGCAATAGTACTGGAAACATAGTCAATAGCTGAAAGTTTAGTAGAAAGAAGAGAGTTTAAGAAAGAGAATATTAGTAGTTAGAGAATGTTAGTTGAAGAAAAGGCTAAGACAAAAGATGTATAAGAGAAAATATATAACATTTCTAGCATTAATAGAAAGTATGCAAGATAAAAATTGAGACATAGTTTTAATGGAATCTGACTATTAAAAAAAAAGAATTTTATGTGGCTCTAAAAATTAAATTAGAATAAGGTATAAGACAGAAAACAAACATAAGACATAGAATATGCTTTTGTATCATTAAATTACTTGTGCTCTTATCCGTTGTTGTTCCATTTTTTTAAAAATAATACTAGTATCTGGCACAAAGATCTAGTTCTATCTTTTTATAAAGATTGAAATTGTAAGCGATGTTTAATTTAAAATTTTCTCAGAATAAGAATTGATTAACAATTAATTGTAAAGATTTACATTGGCTATGCTTGTTGGAGTATATTTTGGACTGTTGTTGGAGTATTACATATGTGTAACCCTTTACCATATAGATAATAATGACTTTTTTTTATTTAAAATTCAGAAAATAAAGCAAAATTAATAAAAAAAACTCATTTACGATTAAAAACAAAATCATTTAAGACAGTAAAAATGGAAGCAATGAGCACTTTAACGCATTAAGCGTAGGTGCAGAACAATTTTATTAATTTAGCTAATATAAATTTTTCACATAAATGGTGGATTTTAAATATCTATGTAGGGTGGAACATAAGAGAGTCACCCTATCATATTGAATTTATGAGCTGAGGCATTCAGTAATGCCACGGCGTGCCCAACATGTTACAAATATCATGAAGGCACTGTGCTGAAATAAATATCAATTTTCTCCCCAATAATTATAAAATATGTGTTGCTCACAGTTTGGTTAGCAATGAGTTTCTAGATTTTAAGCTTCTGATTTTTAACCAATTCAGCAATATTGCAGAAGTCTAAATCAGATTTTTTTTTATTGCTGCATTAATTTGTTGAAGGCAAAAAGAAGTACCACAAAGAAAAATTCATCTCTGACTTCAATCCAGTTGATAAGAGTTTAAAAAAAAAAAAATTAAAGGTATGAATATGTTGAATAACTGAAATCCTGACAGTAAATTAATTTTAATATTGAATTTCATGATAATGAATAAAGTTTTGTCAGTTTAAAAACAAAAAAAATGTAGCCATTCCTTTAAAATGATAATTGCATCAGAACATTCTTTAAATAATTAAAATTTGATTCAATAATAAATAAAATAGTGAATAATAAAGATTATGTTTAATTTCTTTAAAATATTAACTAATTTCCTTCTAAGCACTCAATTTTGAGTTTTAACAATACTAAAACTAAAAACATGTGTAAGTAAAGAATAAAGGTTTGGTATATTATTGATAAAACTTCACTTATAATTGTGCTGCATATTTAAAGTAAAATCACATGGAAATGCAGAATAAAATGAAAGAAATTAATAAACTATTTAAGAAAAAAAACTTGAGTCTAAAATGATATAAATACATTAAAGACTTATAAATAATAAAAAACACTAAATTAACTATCAAATACTAAATTAACTAACTATCCCCTTTAACAAAGTTTTATAAAACCTTTAAAAAAGTTATAATTTTATAACTTATAATATACATATTCTACAGCTAATATTTAATACCTTCAAACAGCCCACTTAAATAAATAAAAAAGCAATTTTTAACTATTGGGCAAAATACACTTTAAAAATATCTCTTGTTTATCACCGTTAAGTTTGATTGCAGTTACTTAATTTTTAATAAGAATTCTTATATACAATTCAAACAAAGAGTAGGAAGACTTACATTTTGTTTTTGCCCTGATGATTGGGCTAAACATTCCATCGCCCAGTTTGTTTCTTGATAGCACTTGGAAGTCATATTCGGTGTCAGCTTGTAAATTATAAACTGTAAAAGTGGTCGCTCCATCAGGATAGACCCTTATGGTCCGCCAGTCACTGTCACCTTGATCTGCCAGCCTATACCTGTAAACATATCAAATACCACAATACATATTTCAATGTAAATGTTTTAATATTCAAACACAAAAAGGAATTTTTAAAATATTTTTTTTTAATGGCAGGCACTGAACTTTCGTTCTTTACCTCGGAAGATGCCGGAAGCATTACTCATTAAACGTTACCCAGTGGGCACCTGTGAACCTAAGTCATGGAGGCGAGCAACATTACCCACCCCCTACAGATACCCATTTATAGGGTGGGCCACATTCACACATCACACAATAGAGAACAATACACAGAGAGAAACATCCATGCCCTGAGAGGGATTCAAACCCGCAACCATTGGCTTCACAGTCTGGCACGCTGACCTTTTGGCCGGCATTTTAAAAAAATAATACTAATAAGTAAAAATGTACTGGTAGAAGCAGAACTTTACTTATATCACACTAGAACTGCACAATGGATAATTGAGCGATGGTCTAGGAAACATCATTGAGGACAATCTAAAGACATGCTGTCATAATTTGATCCTCTGCAGAGGATGGCTCCCCCCCCCATACCATGAACACAAAGTCACACAATTTACGGTAGAATAACTTAACGAGCACTGATCCCACACACCCCAAAGTTCTTACACTAATCAAAATAACCATTCACTGACCACAGCCAGTGATGGTTAACTTAAATGTTCTACTGGGAATCGTGTCTTTTAAGATAAGTCTGCTATTGGACTTTTAAATAAAAATAATAATAATGAAATAATAAAGTAATTAATTAAAAAGGGATAGAAATTTATACTTTTTTCATGAAAACATAATCTGTTCTGATTATGCAAATATGCTTTTCAAAGAATATGTGCATGTCGAAAATGTGGCTGATGACGATAAACCAAGAAGCAATTTACAAGGAGATTGAAATAAAAAATAAGAAAAATTGTAAAAACTGAAAGTAAAGGAATTATAACAAAAGCACCCAGTTACTAAACTATAAACATTGGCTTTTTAGTTATTAACCATCTGAATATTTGTAATGCCCAAAAATAACCTTTCACCTGATTTTTTTTCTCCGTACAATCTTCTTAACAGTTCATTAAAAAAGTTCTGTGATTGAAAGTTAAAGCAGAGAAAAAAAAATTTCTATAGAAACCTACCTGATCCACTTAGTCAGTTAAATTTAAAATTTTTGAAATCTTCTTAGAAACATAAATTCTTTTATCATCTATCCAGATGTTTTAATTTACCAAATAAGGACTGATCCTACTTAAGTTAGATAAATGGTATTTTACAATAAATATAAACTAAGTAATTTTTACATTCACAATTCACATATTATAAGACAAAATTGTGAAGTTTTAATCAGTTAAAGTTATCAGTTAAATGTCACTTCAACCACCATGACCATCTAATACATAATAGAATGCTTTGCTTTTTCTTACTATTTAAATTACCTTCACAATATATTTTAAATTTACCATAAAAAAAAGGGAATGTTTTAAATATTCGGCTAGAATTACATTCAAAAATAAAATAAGTTTTAAAAAATATGTAAAAGAAAATTAAGAGCTAAAATTAAAAAATTACTTTGGAAGTTAAAATACTTAGATTCCACAAGAAAATAAATTAAAATTATAAGCTTAAAGCTTTGGATTTATAACTTATATTTAAAAAATATTGAAGAATACAATATATATTATAGAGTTCCAAAAAAAGTGTT